ATCGTCACCAGATACTCGAATTCCAGGCGCAATGATCCCGTCATCGTCCAATTTGTCATATATAGCATTGCGCATTCCAGAACAAGTTAAGCGCGAGGGTTTCTCGAATTGTTCCTCCTGATCGCCAATCTTCTTTGACTCGGATTCCTTATAAGAACGATAAAACACTGATCTGAAGAAACCCCTCTCAACGGCACTCGCATTCAGGATAACGCTGTCCTCTTGATTGTATCCCGTGTAACACAGGATTGCAACAATGCTGTTAATACCGGCCGGTAATTCGCGAAATCTAAGATATTCCATAGATCTTGTTGTAACCAATGGTTTATGAGGATAATACAGTACATGAGCCAAAGTGTCCATGCGCACGTGAAAGTTTGTAATGTATACACCCATAGCTTGTTTACCCATAGCGCTCTAAAAAATAACAGTTTCTATGTATTGTATCTCGTAAAAAAGCATAAACGTTTTTCTAAGAAAATGCAGCGACTAAAATTTGCTGTTAATACCTGATAAGTGTTCCTAGGACTCTGATTATGATCGGGGAACGGTATAATGGAAGCACACACACCCAAAATCATCGCTGGATGAATCTCGCAGTGCGTATACGTCGTACAATATGCGTACTCTTTCTCTTGTCTGAGATCATCAGGTGACATAGCTATCATAACAGTTTCTTCCTCCAGGGTATCTATATATTCCACTACTCCGCTACCTACCAATTCTTGCCACCTGTAACATTATACAATCGTCGTAACATTTATAAAAGCAGATGACTTAGATTATCAATCAATACTTGAGACAGAATTTTTAATAACTTGAATAATTTTTTTAAGATATGTTGTACTTTATATATTGTAATATTTTGATTTTACATTTATATTGTATTTTTTTCTAATTATGATAATAATTAATTGTACCAAGATGTGTCTGCAATATATATCATGTTTACAGAAAAAATATTCAATTATCTTACTCGCTTTAAAAGCTGCCGTTTTGCATATATTAGAGATTTCTTACAAATAATTAAACAGACATCTTGCGTTATTAATTTTTTTATGAACGACTTAAAAGAAGATTGAGCGCTTACCCATCATTGTTGTAATCTCTTTCCTTCAACATATTAATATGTCTTGTCTGCAGTAATAAATTTTGACCTTCCACTATGAGCAAAGGTCTGCTGATCCTACCAGCGTCCGTGTATATCCTTATCTCACGGTCTCTAATGTCGCGAACCATTGATACTTCCGACACGATAATATCCATCTGTCTTCTCAATTTGCGTAAAGTGGCCATCAATTGATCTGGATCTCGGTGGATGCCGACCCAACATCCGTTCACGAATATCTTTGTAGCATCGGCGATTGCGCTCGGTGCTATCTCTTCCAGATTCTCCATGGACCATTCCTCCAAGAATTCCAGAATAGGAGATGGCTGCGATCCAACACTTATATACGCCATCAGGGCTAGATTTTTCACTAATCCTACAGCGGCACCTTCAGGAGTCTCCGCAGGGCAAAGCATACCCCATAACGTATTGTGCAATTGACGTGGTTTGGCAAGTTTACCATCTCTTCCAATAGGCGAATTCACTCGTCTTAGATGCGACAGTGTCGACGCGAAAGTCAACCTATTCAATACCTGTGACACACCTGCTCTTGCCTGATGTGCCTTCTTCTGGTCGCCCCAGTTACCAGTGGCAAGCGAGTATCTCAGACCGTCCGTTATAATTTTTGTCTTGATGGCCAGCTCGAGATTAAAGTCTTTCCCTCGATCTATGAACTTCTGTGCGTACAGACGTACCTCCTTCATTAGATTCTTGAACAAACCTCGGAATAAAAATGCTAACAGAGGCCCAGCCAAGTCCAATCTCTTATTACCGTAATGATCGCGATCGTCCAATTCCCTTCGTCCTAGAGATGCCGACAATAATCTATGGACCATGTAACCAAGGAAATATGCCTTCTTGGTTTCACAGAAATCGCTTATGCCAACGTGAGGCAGCATTTCCTTTTGTAAGATTTCTCGGGCGTATTTAATTCGCTTCTCCTTTGTTACTCCTGGCTTAGCGCCTCTAGTACCGATAAAATTCAAAGCAACGTTCTGTTCCTGTATGACGAAAGCTTCATCTAAGGAGGGCTTCACCATTTCCATCATCTCAGGGTCGTCGAAATCGTAAATAATATGTTCGAGGATATCGCGATCAGCCACAAATCCGAGTGCTCGAAAAACCACCATTATGGGGATTTCCTGCTTAATGTAAGGAATAATGGCGATAATGCGTTGGCCTATAGCAGATTTTTTAATACTGGCACCGCTCTTGGCCATCATATTGATCCATAGAGTCGAAGTTGGACGGGAGCTGTGTTCCAAGCATGAGCGTATTTCCGCCTTGTAAGCATACTTACCGTCTTTCATGCTGAATACATAGACGGTGTTCGTCGCCATTTTTTCCTGAGCTATAAGGACTTTCTCCGAACCATTAATAATAAAATATCCGCCAGGATCCAACGGGCATTCGTTCAATTCCGTCAAATCACGATCAGATAAGCCGGCGAGTAAACAATACTTTGATCTCAACATAATCGGAATTTTGCCTATAAATGTTTTTTGATGTTGCGTCTCAACTGGGTCTTCACCATCTTTCTCGATCGTCTTAGTGATATCCACATACAATGGCGCAGAATATGTTAAATTTCTCAATCTAGCTTCATTGGGCATCATAGGAGATGGTGCACCATCTTTTTCCCAATGAGTTGGCTTCGACAGGTAAATTTGCTCAAATTTCAACAAATGCTTCACAGGCTTTTCTATCTCGCCTGTGGTGTGCTGCGCCTCCGCCTGTAGTTCAATTTGTGGTGAATCCTCCACAATACGCTGAACGGACATTTCAATAAATTCATCGAAACTATCCAGTTGTTGTCGTACAAGTCCTTTTTCGTCAAAGTATGCGTTGATGAGGATCCAGCAGGCTTCTTGCCAAAGTTTTGATGAGATTTCTTCTTTATCTTCCTCATCATATTGATCTAGGATAGATAAAAAGGCTTTTTATACATTTTTCTTTTTAATAAGTAATAAATAGTAATAAAAAGTAATAAATTTTGTAAGCAAAGCACATTCTGTCAGATCTAGAAAAATAGATCAAATAGGTACAAAAGTTCATTAAATGCTCAGTAAGCAGTCATAATTAGAGTCCAACCGAAATTTCAGTTTCGGTCAATTTTGATACAATGTTTCAGTTTCAGTCAAAATTAAGAGAAAATTTCGGTGGGTAAATCGAAACTGTACAAGTTGTAACGCGCTGGTGAGTGTTGAAAAAACAACTGTTCGATTTTAATTATTAACTCGTTGATTAAACTTAAGACAATTTGAGTACAAACTTTGATCCTAATAATAACTGTGATTTGATTTCTTTAAAAATTGAAGACAATATTATTATATTATTATAATTATTTTAATAAAATCTTGTTTATAAAAAAACAGTAAAAAGCAAGAAACAGGAAACAAAAAGCATTGTAGAATAAGCTTCAGCTTCTTTCTTGTATTATTTTTCTTGTACTTGTCAGAACTGTGGACATATATTTGAAATATTTTTATTAAAAAAAAACAATGTTTGTAAGACAATGATATTTTGTATTTTGTATTTCAGCAATACACATAAAAATATTTGGTATTTTGTGGAAGTATGTAAAAAGTATTTTATATTTTGTATTTCAAATACTAAAGATTGATAATCAATCATATTATTATAAAACACAAAAAACTTTCAATCTTTCAATTTTAAATATAAAGTACTTTCATGTGTTCCACTAAAATAAAAAATACAAAATATGCTTGTATTGCAAATACTGTGTTTTAAATAAAAGTAATTTAAAATTAATTTAAGATATCGGGAATATCATAAGATGGAAAGTCAAGAAATTATAGAAAATAGATTTGTTCGCATTGCCTAAAATCCTCTAAAACTTGAACATATATATTTATTTTGTTTAAATACAATAAAACTTTTGTATTTAAACAAAATAAATATATATGTTCAAGTGTTGAAAATAGAAAATGAAGATTCTAAATACAAAAAGTACAAGCGACGCAAACAGTCCCGATTTCAAAGCTGTATTTCTCCTACATGAGAAAGTTAACAAGATTTGTGTCCCATAACCTTAATTTAATTCTATTGCCTCAATACTTACCGTCTTCAAGACCGAAAATATTACTCATATTTAAATTGTAAAATGTACGATTTCGGAATGTAGTCCAAGTTATTCGCAACCTTTTTTTGTAAGTTCTTTGCGGAAATTAAAGACAAATAATGCAACATTCAACCAAAATGCAACAATTACTGACGAGTACTGGCTGAGTCTAACCGTCTAACCGCTGATGGGCAATATGCAGCATGATAGCCAATGGCAGCGTCGTCAGCGACGTCAATAAAGTCACTAGATGAATAAAGTATTGCGAACTACCGCCATTTTAGCTCCAAATGCTAATTTAGTGAATTTTCTCGTCAACGGACTGAAAATTTGTGGATTGAAAAATAAAGAATATAACTTCGTAATTTTATAAGATATTATTATAAGACAAAATTCATTAAATTAACTTATTTGAATTTTCAACTTGTTTGAATTTTCAATTTCGTTTATTAAAATTCAACAATTATTTTACATATGTAGGAGATACGGAATTAAAATTTTTTCGTTCAAGAATCCATTAAATTGTCCTTCCTGATTAAATTATCCCTTCTATAGATAGTCGGCATGCTTCTATCCTAAGGATTTAGTACAGAAACGAACCACATCTACTTTCGACTATACGATTTTATCGATAGTGTCAGAAAATGTATTGTATATAGTCATGTAGTTCTCAAGTTAAAAATGGATGTACTGGCGGTAGTGTATGAGGTACGATAATAACAAGAAAAAAGTCGGCATGGTAAACTGTATTTGTGATAGGCTGTGACAGATTAACCTAACCTGAATAATCAAACTTTAATCTTAATGATTAATATAATCTCAGTTTACGATGCAGAACGACGCTTTTTTCTTGTCAAATCTTTATTTTATTGGAAAATACATCAATTAAATGTATTTTTGTCACAATTTATGGTGACTGGGATACTCTTAATTTTTACCGAAAATTGTGCTCTTATCTGGTCTTTACATTTAATTGCATAAATCTGTTATTTGTTAATCTAAGTGGTTATTGAAAATATTATTATTATGACTACCGACGTAATGGTAACATTAAAAGAGCCAAGAATGATAAAAATATGTGCCCCGATGGTCAGATACAGCAAGTAAATAGAAAACAATATTCTAAAATTTTTAAGTTGCACTTGTGTTATATTGACTTCTTGCTTTTTATTAGGCTACAATTCAGAACACTTGTGAGACGATATGGATGTGACATATGCTTTACACCCATGATTTTAGCAGATTCATTTGTACAATCTTCAAAAGCTAGGGATAATGAATTTACCACGCACGAAGGAGATGAGCCACTAATTGTTCAATTTGCAGCTAAGACTGTAAACGATTTTGTTAGTGCTTCAGTAATGGTTGCACCGTAAGTTTATTATGAATTAGTTTATATTAGAGATGAAAATGATCCAATTTGACAATAACTTATCTGATAAATTATGGTAAATTACTCAGTAATTTTTTAAGGCTGATAAAATAATAATTTTAAAAAATTAAGAAAATAAAATAATCTGAAATAAGAGCATTTAGTCATTAACTCTTATGAAAATAAAAATCGGAGCATAAATCAGATGTAATGGAAGAGTAACAGAAACGTGAACAAAACTTCTAGAAGGCGAAAATTGGAACAATGAAATGTAAAAGAAGTATTTACGCTTTTTTAACATTTTGATGTTTCAATTTTCGCCTTCTAGAAATTTTGTTTACACTTTTGTTACTCTCCCATTATATCCAATTTATGCTCCAATTTTTGTTTTCATCGGAAAAGTTAAAAATGCTTTGTTAACTAAAATTTTCATGTTGATACTATTGAAGTAATAATTAAACAACCAACAACCGACAACGTTTAAGACAGGGATGACAAATCAGGGACGATTTACGAGAGTGGCGCATTTGTACACACTACTCACATGGCCTGTTCCTAATAATTTTTCACTGCTTCATCAATGAGACTATATTATTTTTAATTAATTTAACTAATTAGTGATGTAGATAATTGATATACACCCATTTACGACATCGCAATCAATAGCATTAGTGCGACAAGTAGCCATACATTTAAGCATGAGTCTATGTATCATACAGACATGTTTTATTACAATTAAATTATATGTTTAGATTTCATCAATAGCCCTGTTATTCAATCAACGATTTCTATTAAGAATAGAAGAATGTTATTTTATTTTATACATAAGTAGAAATACAACCTATTTGTACAATACATAACACTATAAAGACAATAAATATAGCCAAAATTATCAATAAATTTTACTGCAATTTTACCATAAGTAATTGTAAAATTGAATTTGACAGTATTTTTACATCTCTAGTTTATATACATCTGTGATTTTGATGGTATAGTTCTTGTTTTTCTTACATATTTTTGTATTCTTCTAATTAACAGATATTGCAATGGTGTAGATCTAAACTGTGGCTGCCCACAGCGTTGGGCCATGCAAGAAGGTTATGGAGCTGATTTATTAAAAAAACCAGAGCTCGTTAAGGATTTGGTGTATCAAGTTAGAAATCGTATTCCAAAACCGTTCACTGTTTCTGCAAAGATACGACTGTTGAAAGATATACGTAAGACGATAACATTGTGCCAAACTTTGGAAAAGGCTGGTGCCTCGTTCTTAACAATTCACGCAAGGACACCTGAGATGCGTAATGAACCAATTGATTTGAATAACCTTAAACTTCTCAGAGATTATGTACAGTTGCCCCTCATAGCAAACGGTGATGTAAAAAGCTTAGAAAATGCAGAATTTTTATTCAAAGAATCCAGATGTGAGGGGGTAATGTCTGCTAGGGGTATTTTAACTAATCCGGCGTTATTTTCGGGATATCCTGTCACTCCACTCGTTTGCGTTCAAGATTGGCTGGACATTACATCGACCATGTCAACTGAATTTCAATGTTTCCAACATCATCTGGTATTTATGTTGGAAAAGATCTTGCCGAGGAAAGATCGAGTGTTATTTAATAGTTTACAAAATAAATCATCTGTTCTGGAGTTTCTAGAGAATTATTACAACATAAAACCAAACGCATCTAATTTAACAGAATTGACTAGGTGTAATTTTAGTACCTCGCATGTAACATGTAAAGAAAAATATATTAATTGTTGGGAGGATGATTCTACTGATTTTCTAGGATGTATTTTTAATATGGATTCATAAAGGAAAGTTCAAGGAAACGTTCTCAAGCTGATATTCATTGGATTTTATATTTAAAACAGTCTTACATACAGTCTTAAGATGTCATGAATTAATATCAGGGCCCAGTATTTATAATTGGTTCTTATATTTAAGATTGTTTTAAATATATTCTTAAGATGTCACAACCCAATCAGAAGATTATATTGACATCTTAAGCATTGCTTAAGACAATCTTGAAATAAGAACGGGCTATACTATCCAGTAACATCTTAAGACATTACTTACGACGATCTTAAAGTAAGAATAAACTAGGAATACCGCCTTCGGCCATATAAAGTTTCGCACATGGTTTACGCTTGTGAAATAAACTTTTGTAAATTCCGCTCTACGTCGCCATGTTATTATTTAGTTCCTCAAATTTACATAGGTGGCGGTAGAATATATCAAACTTTCGAAAAAAGGACAGAAGACCCAGTTTTCTTTCCCCGTCAGCATTCTTTTTAGTTTGTTTCTATATTTAGTTTGGTGTATTAATTTTTATTATTGACGTTATTGCAATTTTCTCAATATATTTTCACTAATAAAAATTAATTACTGTGATATCATATAAGGTTATTACGAAGCAACAAACGGTGGAAAATGAGTTATAATACACGTAAGTGAAAATGTCATCCGTTTTGCATTGGCCTAAATACTTCTCATTCCTTATGTTTGTACTACTTGATCGATGATTAATTCAACTGATATAATTATTAGTTAAAAAATTTCTAACTTTAAGATTTGTAGTTATCAATTTTAATCTTCCAGTTATGATTTGTGATTCTTAATTTATTTCATGTATCAAATATAATAAAAAATTATTCTTATCCATTTAAACAAAATAGTGCAAATATTGCTAATTTAATTAGTATTTAATTGGTTATCCTAAATTAAATAATTTTAGAATAGCATTTTAAATTTGTCATATATATATATGACAAATTTAAAATGCTATTCTAAAATTTTATGTGTGTGTGTGTGTGTGTGTGTGTGTGTGTGTGTGTGTGTATGTATGTATGTATGATAAGAAGCAAGAATATTAGTTTAATGTATTTGCAGGTCTTACAGAAGAGTGTCCTTTGACAAAGGAGAGAAGTTACAAATATAGACTCTGCGGCAATGGGTTGAAAGTCATTGTTGTCTGCTTTGTTGCATTGTCTTTTGCCATTACTACTATGCTGATGTTGCAAATTCTTTACACAGAAACCTTTATACAGGTGAATATTAAAAATAAAAAAAGACAATAAGTAGTAGTAAAATATTTTAACATTTAAACTTTTGTCTCATTTTAGAGTAGCCTTCATAGCATTCATGGAGCAGTCGCCACAGATTATCCCAATTGTTCTCAAATTGGTACAAAGATATTAACAAGATTAGGCAATGCAGTTGATGCTGCAGTAGCAGCTACTATTTGCATGGCTGTAGTAGCGCCTCATAAAACTGGTTTTGGCGGGTAAGACATTAATTAACTAATTTTGATTATCATTCTTTTTAATCTTAATTTTGTTTCTAGAGGTGGATATATAATGATATATAATTATAAGAATTACACTCGTCCAATTGTCATTGATTTTGCCAGTAATACAACCACAGGTAAATATAATTATAATTTTGTTCATTGATTTAATATGTATATAAAATAATAAGATTTAATATGTAAATAAAATAATAAGAAAGTCATATATTACTTAATGCAATAGGTTTCTTTGCCGAAGTTGGAATACGTTTACCAGCAGTATTAAAAGGATTAGAGTTTGCTCAAAGAGCATATGGCAATTTGCCATGGCATAATGTCGTAGAACCTATCATCGAGCTAACTCGAGAAGGATTCGTTATATCTAAGGATCTTGCAGATGAAGTGTCAAAGAATACAGATTATGAAATATTTTCCACTGGCCCTTTAAATCCAGGCGATAGATTGCAACTGCAGGAACTTACAAAGATGTTGGACATTGTAGCACGTTATGGTGCAAAAGGTACAATTTGTTTTGCTATGTTTGCAACTTTGTTAGTTATTGATAAACTTCTATACAACCTCGTTTTAATTTTGTCGAACTATATGATCAAATTATTAATATTTAGCATTTTCTTCTAGCGTTATATAATAATACTGAGAATTATAAAATTCTACAAAATACTACTCTTAATGACAAACTGCTGCAACAGTTGGCAAATTATGAACCTACTGTAACGATGGCAGTAAGCTCGACATTACATCGTCATACAATTTATTATCCTGTACACGCGTCTTTTATGCAAGAAGTGATCGAAGCATTGGAAAACCTTCCAATTTTGGCAAAAAATGCGTCTACTATAGAATCTCAAGTTCTCGTTGCTCAAACGTTGATGAGCGTATTTTTGCAATCTTCTCAATCTTTGCAATATGGTAAGACACATATTATTTTTCTTAAAAGGAGTTATGTTGTATATTTCAAGCTTATGTTTACAAAGAATATTTATATTGTGTGTTAAATTTATAATTTTTTCATGTAAATAATAAGCAATGTAAAATATATAAATTATTATAAATTGAATACAATATAGAAAAAAGGAATTAAGTTTTAAAAAAATAATTAGGTTTTTAAGTTAGTATATTTGACTTTAATATTGATAGATAAAAAATATGTAACAGTGAGATAGAAATTTTAATGCAGTACATTGCAACGACAAAGGACATGGATTTACAGATCGTTCACATGAAACATAATTTGCATAGTATTTACATTGCATACATATAGACGTTGATTATTATATTTTACGTGTAAACGCACAATCCTTTTGTTAACTTTTATCAGATCTGCACATAATTTTCTATTAATTTCATAATCATAATTTTAGAAGAAAAAAGAGAAACATATACAGGAGTTATGGCAATGGATTGGCAAGACACTTATGTTAGCATTTTAACGTTAGTAACAAGAATCAATTATACTTACACATCTATTAGATAATGACTGACCATTGCATTAACGTATTATAAATGATACAGTGGTCTAAGTTCACCTTTCGGTCGTGGAAACAAAATGGATGGACTTCCCTTTTTCTTAGATAATATTGATAACGATGGTTTGTCCACGTTTATCCCTATTATTTTTCATCATAATGAAAAGTTATGCGGATTACGTGGAGTGTTGGGTTCGAACGATGTTTTTCTTAATGGCCAAATTCTCTACAATCTTATCGTACGTGCGCTAAATGTTTCTGCTGCGATAGAATATCCCAGGTATATAACAAATTTAATCTTAAACAAATAGATAAAAAACAATATATTTATAATATATCAATTTATTCATTTTTATAGGTACTATTTTGCAGCCGACGGTATGGTGATTGAAAATAATCAAAGACATTCGATGGAGACTGCATTGCAAGCTCAAGATTCCATAATGTCATTATCTCATGACGATATCTCATCAATAAGAAGTGTGAATGCAATTGTTAAAAGAAAAGATTCGCTATCGAGCCACTCGGATAGTCGTGGAAATGGAATTGCATCACGATTTTAAGTCAAATACGCCTTGTTACAAGCATTAAAAAAACATAAGAAAATCGATAATCTCTAAGAATTTTGGAGATATATAATGCTGTGATATTAGGAAATAATGATATATATATATATATATATATATATATATTTATGAACGTTTGTGAACGCTCAATGGAAGTTTTTTTATACTGTAGAAAACTTATTGAACTGTAAATATCATACACTTAATATTTAAAATCTTTGACATTATAATACTTTTACATACATTGATATATACACGCAGAGATATTTATACATACATACATACATATATATACATATACATATATTGCAAAATCGTTGAATGAACTTTTGCGTCAATTTGCATGTATATGTAAAGAATAACTCTCTTCCATACATTGCTCTACATTTTCTTAAAATATTACAAAAAAAAACTATATATACACATTTGCATACAATAATACTTTAAATATAAAAATTTGAATAAAATTGTTATATCTTATTACCGTTGTTACACTTTAAATTGCCGTGTCTCGATTCTGTACTCTTTATTCAACTCTAGTTGCCTAATTCTCGCATAAAATGCACTGGCAGTAAGGACAACAATATTGCTTATCCACCAGAGAAATGATTTCTTTTCATTAAACCAATAAGTCGCTAAAACCGTTTGAGCACATGCTTTTGCGGTACCGCTAACATTATGTGTTAAAGGAGACGTAACTTTTATCTGAAGGGCAGTGAAATATCCAATGGCAAAGCCAAATACACCACCGATTGTCATGGCACCCCAGAAAAGAGGATATCCAAGCTTCTCATAATTATATACAGTGGTATGTTCCCCGCTAATTATCATTAACGGAATGAAGATAATAATGCTATACACATTGTTATAATACGAAAGTAGCCAGATGTCTTGATTTACGATCGGGAGCGTCTGTTTCATACGGATAGAATACAAGGATAACGACAATGATCCAAGCACGCCGAAAAGTGTCCCGAAAATAGATAGAGAACCTGCTACATGCTCCTGATCTATCCCTAACCAGAACCCAATAATAATTACTGCGCAGCATGCTATGCATTTGAAAGATGTTGTTTGTCCTGCAACTTTCGCTAATTAGTTCTTCCATTAATTTATATTTTTTAGTATTTAGTTTAGCCGTTATGTGTAGGATTCTCACCGAGTAAAATATAAGTAAATACGACATTAAATACCGTCGTTAGCGAACGGCCCACATAATAAAATGCAACACCAACATATTTTAAGCATAAGTTATTAGTTGCTATCATTGCAGTAAACAGAATTGATAACGGCAATACCTATAAAAATTTTAAATATATATAAACATTTTATATAATCTCATATAAATGTAAAAACTATCAAAAAGGAATTACAATATTTAAAGCTACAATCTTTCAAATATTTTAATTCATAGTTTACGTTTTTTATTGAATTAAATGTTTCTCAATTTGAAGTGTAAAAAATATCTTTATACAAAGATTTTTCTTAAAATTAAATAATCTGTTTCTAGTTATTTGTAATGAAAATAAAGCTCAAGATGCAATTGAAAAGTACAGAAAATAAGAACAGGGAATAATAGATCTCAAGCTATCAAAAACCATGTATGAATATGGTGTACATGATTTCTGATAGATTGAAATCTGTTACTCCCTGTTTCTATTTCCGTGTTTTTCAATTGTGTCTCAGGCTTAACATTACTACCATACAATAATATTAATAATTTCTTAAAACAAGTTGTATACCTTTTTCAAAGTATCTTTTTTGAATGGGCTACCATTTGCGATTTCAATGCAGTCTGGAAACCATTGGGATATTATGCGTAAAGTAATACAGATAGCTACACTCACTATACATTGAAACCAAGTTACAAATAAAGGAGCATTCAGATTCACAGCATCACTGGACAGGAGAGCTTTATTTACAAATACAGTCAAAATTGATACTATCCTGAAAATAATTAGAAAATACATTTAAATATCTTTAACTGAGAAATTGTTTATAATTTAATTTCAAAGATAACTACATAGTTATTATGTTCTTTGTATATCTTAAAAGAAGTTTAACTTGCATAAATATATTTAATAATCAATAAAACAATATGCGAGCAACTTTATATCACTTCGAGACTTACCAATAGGCTGCAATCACATATGTAATGTATGCATACTTTGATGCCAGTCCCTTTTCTAATTGCATCTTGGGATTTATATAATTTTTACGATCTTCAATCTCAGCTAAATGCCGAATAATTATACTAAATATCTACTGCAATAGTCAAACTATTATGGCTATTGTAAAATTGACAGTCTGCATTAATCAGATATGTCAAATTACTTGCATATTACTGTTTACAAAATAATTCTACAAAATCACAATGTTTCAACCAGATGGCAAATAGTTTTGAGCCTGCAATTTGATATAATTTACTAAAATGCGTATTCTAAATTGCCACATCAATAGGTTTATTTTTCTTGCTTCACTGTCACATTTTCCTTTATGCTCCTATCACAAATTTCAAATATATACCTATTTCTTAAAATACAAAAAGTGTACACACAAGTTAAACTATATTAAGCTTATCTTAAATTATTAAGAGAAAAAAATTGTGCTATTTATATTAATTTATGCTTGTCATCAATCACAGACGTTGATAAAAACACGTTTATATCAATCGATGCATTTTTTAGAAGCAAACGAATTTGACATTTGAAATTTATGCACTGCAACTGCTCTGCGAAACGAGATATTATTAGTTAAAGTTGAGGATTTTAGTATGTCGTGCCACCGAATGATGGCTTTGTTTTCGTTAAAGTTCAATGTTAGGTTAAGAAATGTGTCATATGAGCGACTCTAGGTGGTGTATTGACGCTACAAATCTTCGAAACTTTTGATTGACCAATCAGAAGAAAGAATTTTACTAATTGACCAATCAAACATTTTGGCTTTGAAACATTTATAGCATCAAGTGGACCGTAGCCTCTATGAACATGCATCGTGATAGAAAAGGGCACGAAATTAAAAATTGTATTTTAGATACAAGTTTAAAAATTAATTGAGGTTTGTACAGATCAAATAAAAGATATTACAAAAATTTATGTGGGAGATATTCTTGTTTAACAACATCGTATGCCTAGTGACAGTTTTGTCAGAAATTTTAAACTAAATTTGTCATTGATATCTTTTTTCGTTATTTGGATATGTTTATTTTAGAAGTGTGAAGATTCATTTTCAACAATCAATATTTTTATTTATTGTATTTATGTATTGGAATTTATTAAATATGATGTAATATTATAATGTAAAATGTAATACAGTACAAAAATATATATAATATTAATTACAAAAGTTAATTTTATTTCTAAACAAAATTGTCTATTCTTTTTTTACTATTATTTCATTTTTATTTATACAAAGTTATACATTAAATTTTAATTACATATTTAATATTTTATTCTATCCATTTTATATATAAACTTATACTATACACAGTATTGAAATAATGTTCAGCTCTACTAAAAAAAAAAAAACGCAGTTTTTTATGAAATCTAATCAAACAAATAATATAATATATACAATTTAATAATTAAGATTTATTCTTCCTTTTTATATAACTTAAAATATAAATTCTCTATCATGAAATATATTATAATAAATATAATAATTAAATCGGACTCTCAATAAAATAAGACTCTCTTTAAAATAATAATAATAAATAAATTTCAAGGCTAATGAGAGTCAGCGCGGAAGGAGTTGCGCACAGTTATTGATAAGTAAAAATTACTTCTTTAAAACACTGATGTCTTCTTTATTTCAAAATGTTGAACGTTTCAACTCGCTTTGTAATCATCTTTAGCAATTAGATTCCGTTCGGTGCATCCTGAATGAGTCAGATTTCCACAATTGTAGTGGATTCTCAAACGAAGCGCTCAACATAATTCAGAAGTTGTGGAAAAATATTTGGATTTCTTTATGCGATAATTCACTTTAATTTAATAATGACACGAACATTTATAACAAAGACAATTTCAATATGTCTGTGGGGTTTAGTATGTCATATACGTCTTTTTTATTTATCAATAACTGTGCGCAACTCCTTCCGCGCTGACTCTTAATTAGCTTTGAAATTTATTTATTATTATTCTGTTATAAAATAATACGGTAAATACATATGTTAAATTATTTAAAATGATATGTATTATAAAGTTGATTGTCTCGGAGGACAAGACAAAAATAATAATAGCTTATCTTTGTTGCACAATTTTTCTGTCAACTTGATTTCATGACAAAGTTCGAATGCTTAGTTTAACATAAGTATACATATGTTGTTGATTGCACCGTTGAAACTTCAGTAAAAGACCTTCATTGTAATTAATTGCACGATTAAATAATTGTTCTGTTAATTTTATAATTTTATAAACAACTTCAATGAATATTAAATTACCGTGATTTTTTTGAAAAACTGGTGGTAAGCGTTTTGAAAGACATAATAATTTACATTTACAAATATATTTAAACAGTAATTATTTACATTATAATTAAAATTCATATAAGGATTTTTTGTAAGATTTATGTTTCATTCGAATCCATATTATACAGAATTACAAAATCGCATAACATTTATTTGTTATGACATAATTAAAAAATTATCATTTTTTAATTGCTTGCGGAAGATGAGTAGAAAAATAAAGAAAAAAGAAAAAACATTTAAAAATATATATTTTTATTCCTATATAATTAATAATTATTTTAACATTCAACTCATCAATATAATCTTGATAGTAATCTGATTCCTCTATAATCATTTATTGCAACAAATTTGCATTTAAAAATTAATATTATAAATTTTTGTAATTTAAAACATTAAAATTTATTTTCTGGAAAAGTTTGCTTTTTGAGTTATGTTGTTGTAATAAATAAATGATATATAAGCTATGGAATTCTCTGAGAAGGTGCTATATTAAAAGACTGATCTTATAATGATTCATTTAATAGATATTTTTTGCAAATACATACTGTATCATCATAAAATAAGTCATATCTCTCTAAGCTATTGCGCTATTTTTTGAATATTTAAGCTCATTGTGAGAATTATCTACATTGCCATTGC